ATCAGATACTACTTAAGGTGGTATAGAAATATAGTATATAAACATGCTATGAATGACATTACTCTTTTAATTTCATGATTTATTTAAGATGGTCCCACCATCTTTTTAAACGCTGTACATTTCTTTTAAATAGTCCCCATCTTATATTTATTACTTTTTATATCCCTTTATTTTTCTCTTTCTTAACCTAAATATCAAAATTTCCCCTCTCTTAACCCAATATCACTTTTTATTTATTTTAAAATCACACCATATATTTTGTACCTAAAACTCTCGCCTTTTTAAAAAAAGGAAAATTAGAATCCCCTGCACTTTTCTAATACTCTTTAGATTAAACATTGATTCTATTTTGAAATTTGATTAGGATGCCTAAATAATAGCCATGTCAGCATTTTTATATTTATTTAGATTACATGTAATTATTGTGTTTTTTTTTTAAATTTAAAATGTTGATTATTATCCTTTAAGGTTGATATATTTTTGTATGTGGCCTTTTTTTAAGGAAGCCAGTTTCTTCTCCCACATTTGAGATGTATGGTTTCTTCTCCCACATTAGAATTATGTGATCCTCATTTTTGAATTTTGAATGGACTTATCCATTTCAATTAGTGGTTGTTTTCACTATTTTATATTGATATCATGTGAGATAATTAGACGTATTCTCTATTTTCGGAGGCTTGAGGCTGGTACGTTCATATAATATATTTAAACGTATTAAATACGTATCAAGAAGATACATAAAGTAACTTACCAAATATGTTTTTTTAAATAAATATAAACGTACCAAAATAATATATAAATGTACCAAATACATACAAAAAAGAAATATGAATGTACCAAATACGTACCAAGAAGATATAAAAAATGACACACCCCGACCAAAATCAAGATGTGCGCCGGGATGTGACAAAATAACGTACCAAAAATGTACTAAAGAGAAATATATGTTTAATCAAGAGGAAATATGTACCAAATATGTTTTTTTAAAATAAATATAAACGTACCAAATACATACAAAAAAAAAAAAAAACATACCAAAAGATATATTAAATATAATGGCAAGTCGCATTCATGGGTATTTTGAAAGACTTTTTATTGGAATTAAATTCTACAATATTTATCTACAAGATTTTTGGAGTTTTGATGTATTATCTAGGAATTAAAAGGTATATTTATATAATGGCAAGTTGGGTAATTTAAATTATAAAAAAGGCTACTTCTAATCCATGTGGCACCTAAATTGCAGGAAAATGTTTAATCAAAATTATAAAAGGTATAAATGTTTAATCTCAAAATTTTAAAACCTAGGCATCTGTATCAAAACCCTGCTTAAAAAAATAACGTTTTATTTAATGTTTAAATATAATTTTGTTAAAAAAAAAAGTGTTTAAATTTAATTAATTTATAGAATAGATTATAAATTTACTTAAATCCGCCTAATTTGCCTAGATCCTGCCTACGCATGATATCCCAACCCGCCGCCCGATTAGCACTAGCGTCTTTTAGAACCTTGTTTTACAATCCCTTTTTCTAATTCTTTGCTTCTGTGTGCCCAAATTGGCTGCAGTCTGCAGCATTCAATCAACCAACAGCAGCCTTGCAGCTGCTTTCTGTTCCATTCCAAGTGAAAGCCAACATAGTCGATTTGATACTTATGAGTAGTTGGAGTAAAATATAGCAAGAGATGCTGCATTTTGTCATTATTGCTATATTTTCAAATGAAAACGGGAGATGTTGGCAGTGATGTCCTCATTGAAAAGGGTTTTTAATGTAACTTATTTGTATTGATAAATTATGAACGATATTACTAAATGGACTTGGTTGTTTCCCTGTTTTTGAACTTTGCACTTTTAAATTTGCCTTTCCCCCTGCTAATTCCTAACTTCGCCACATACTACAGATGGCACCAAGTACAGGATATTCAAGAATGAATGGGGTGAGAGCTGGGGCCAAAATGGCTACATGTGAATTCTCAAAGATGCTGGCCTCCTAAAGGTCTTTGTGGCCTTGCTACAACGGCTTCCTACCCAATTATAGATTGATCGTCTCTGCTTCAAAGGCTACAATTAAGTGCGTAAATCTAATTTTCTTCTCAATATTGAGAAAGCACCGTCGATAAAAAGGGCTTGTATTTTGTATCTGATTAGCATAACTGAAGACGGCGTCAAGTTGTTTTGAAAAGAATATAATTAAGTGTGTGAATCTAATTTTCTTTTCATTTAGGTGTGCGAAGTTTTATCTCAAAATACCTCGATTCTCTAGACCTAAAATTTTAGATAGTTCTTCCACTTGATGAAGTTGAAACTTGATACACATTAGAGCAATTTTTATCAATTAGCTAAGCATAAAATTAATTCAGAAGATCTGCAACCTCAAGAGAATTAGTTTTGAAAAGACACTTAATTACGTGAAGAACACTTTGAATGCCAGTCGAGCAACTCTGAGTTGGAGGGCCACTGCATTGACTTACCATTGCTAGTACTTGAATATCAAAAAATCATCATCAAATACTGGAGTTATACGTTCAAATTTCATGAACCTCACCCCAATTCCGTATGAACACGGTATGAGGTTCACTGCTGCAGATTGGTAAATTTGTGGTCATCAGCACCATTAACGGAAACTAAAGGCTAAGGGGCAAAGACTTCAGCAATAGACCAAGGACTTGTAGTCATCAGACCCTTGATTCATCAATGGATCGTTCGAACTTCTTTGTGCACAAACTCCTCGGTGAAAACAAAACAAGCGTAGCATTTGGGCTAGATTGATTGATGAAGTTTACCGTGACTTGAGTCATCAACCTGTGGAATGTGCCAGGAAATTTGGCTCCCTTCTAAATTCCCATCCTAACAACTTCAACAAAGTGCACATGCAGGACAACCCGAACGTCTTCTATATAAACCGGTAATATCATGCTTGCTTCTTCACATCCAGCTTGCCAATCACTACTTGAAACAAAGCCATTGTCGACACAGAGCGGCCCTCTCATCACCGCAATGGCTTTTGAAAGAAACCTTTTGATTGTTACCATACTCATCACCTTGGGGACCTTGGCATCTGAAGCCACGTCCCGCACATTGTACCAAGCTTCCATTGCTGCAAAACATGAGCAGTGGATGAAAAAGCATGGACGCGTTTACCAGGACAGCGCAGAGAAGGAAAGGCGTTTCCAGATTTTCAAAAACAATGTGGAGTTTGTCGAGAAATTCAACAGTGAAGGGAACATGACTTACAGCCTACGCATCAACCGATTTTCGGATATGACCTATGATGAATTCCTCAGGCATTATACTGGATACAAGCAGCCCACTGAATCAACCTCATCCGCAGCTGCATCTTTTACATACGAAAACCTAAGCCCGGCTGATGTTCCCCAAAGCATTGACTGGAGGGAGAAGAGAGCAGTCACTCCAGTAAAATTTCAAGGGAGCTGTGGTAAGAGCACCAACCTCCATATTAACATAGGGCTAAGCTTCCTTGTACATATGTATGTATTGCATTAATTACTTTCTTCGTGCATTCATTCCTACGGAAATTAATTCATATCCGTTTGTTCGAATAAATGCAGGTTGTTGCTGGGCATTTGCCGCAGTGGCAGCAGTCGAAGGGATTACCCAAATCAAAACTGGCAAATTGATCTCACTGTCTGAGCAACAACTTGTGGACTGTGATACAGATAACAATGGCTGCCAAGGTGGTCGGGCAGTTAATGCCCTTGCATACATTCAACGAAACGGAGGAATCACGGGTGAAGAAAATTACCCATACCAGAGTTTAGATGGCAGTGTCGGAACATGTGATATGAACAAGGAAAATGAGGCTGCTGCCCAGATCACTAGTTATGCAGAGGTGCCTCCCAACAGTGAAACCGATCTACTCAAGACTGTGTCCATGCAACCAGTCTCCGTTTCCATCCATGCCTCACCAGCCTTTCAGCATTATTCGAGCGGGGTGTTCACCGGTGATGATTGTGGGACAGAATTGAACCACGCTGTTACCATCATTGGGTATGGGACAGCTGAAGATGGCACCCCCTATTGGTTAATCAAGAATTCATGGTCCGATACGTGGGGTGAGAGTGGCTACATGAAGATTCTTAGAAACGCTGAGGCCCCAGGTGGTGTTTGTGGCCTCGCTATAAGACCTTGCTATCCGACTATGTAATGTATTAATCAAAGGGTGGAGTGAGCTTCTCCACTTTGCCTATAGGTTATAAGTACTGCAGACAAAACCCATAGGCTGTGAAAATGCCTGTATTTTGTACTTGCAAAAAGTATGTTCTATGAAATTACACTATTTTACCTTTACATTCATCAATGAATTTTCCTACCCTGCTTAGGCTAAATTAATAACCACAGCTGCAACGGCAGTTTGCTGGATTATGCCTTTGAATACATATAGCAAAACAGAGCAAGTGACAAAACGAGCATGCTTCCTAGATAACTGGTTATGGAACGTGCCTTCCACAGTGAAAACAACCTATTGAAGGCTGTGTCTCCATGACGAGCCTTTCAGTTTCCTAAGGTGGGATTTTCTCCAATGATCGTGGGACAGAACTGAACCATGCATTTGCAACCGTCGGGTAAGGAGTGAATAAAGACGGCACCAACTATTGGTTGCTCAAGATGGGATGGGAGGTGGGGTGAAGTGAGAATCTCTATATGAAATTTGCAGAAACATGCCATTGTATCTTTGTCGGCTGGCTATGGATTCTTCTTATCAAACTATCTAAACTATAGATATAATCAAGGGGTTGAGAGATCATCTCGATTTCACCTAACAAGACAAAACTACCAGGCTTCGCCTATAGCCAACAAAATTTCTTGTAGTAGCTAATTCATACCATTCAATAAACTTTCGGGATCTTATAAAACATTATTGAAAACAGGATAATCTATACATTTCATTTGGTATTGATAAATTTAGTGATATGGATAACTAAAAATGAATTCTTGCAACAAACCTAACACAACAAAATGGATATGCAAAATGGGTTCTGATTCAAACAAAAAAAAAAAATTAGCCTTTCCAAGTGAAACAATACAAAAGGTATCATGAGAAATAAGTTTGAAATTCTGCCTTTGTTCACAAGAATAAGCTATTGGACATCATTACCTTACATGCCATTGCATTTACCTAATAAACTGAATATGAAAAGACGCAATCAGGCCCGTTTTCCACTATTGGGATTGCTCTTCGTGCAGAGGACCTTCCGCCCCTTAGCACGTCGGCGCTTCATCATTGCTCTCCCACCAGTGGTTCTCATGCGTCTACGGAAGCCATGAGTTCGAGCCAAGGATTTCCTGGACCTACTTCTCTTGGTTAGACACAGGGCAGCCTTTCCGGCCCTCACAACCAAGCCAGAGCCTCTTCTTCTTCCAACCCCAACAGTAGAGCTCAAATCCAACCCCAAAGATAAACCTTCAAATTGAAAATCAAGTTCTCACCAATTCAAGGCCTGAAGAAATATCCTTTGGCAAGCTCTTCAGTAGAAACCAAATAAAGGCGCCAGGTTGTTTCATTTTTGCGGAAGTATTAGTATCAGGTAATGGATCCACTGCATATACATATATATGTTATATCCTCTTTTCTGGTGTAACCCAGAATCGTACAGCTTCACTTTCGGATGATGGATCATGGTTTCTTCACTAGCGTAACCCAGTATCGTACAGCTTCACCTTTAGTAATGGTTATGCCTTCGGGCCACTATGATACCCCTAGTGAGTACAGTATCGATGATATATATGGATTTGCCTTTGGGCGGCGTTAGCACCAGTTATTGAGCATTATTTTACATGTACTTGTTTTACGAATGTTTTCATGGCATACTAGAGTTTTCAGAAAACCTATTATGTAGTATTATATGTGTTTTCAAAACAGGGGATTAGTATGTTCATAAAGAAAATGATTTTCTTATTATTAGTACTATTATTATAAACTTTGATCCATTCACTTTTTTGATTTTGTGCCCCCTCAAGAGTTAGAATCGAGGCACAAGATCCCGGCGTCAGGGCATGTCCACTTAGGTATCTTCGAGTCTTCTCAGGGTAAGACCCGTTCCTCTGTTCGTACCTTTTTATAATAATTCTTTTATATTATTCTTGATTAGTTGTATGCTCTGAACACGATTTTGAGTTGGTATATTTCTTTCTAATTACATATTTTAATTGTATGCATGTTTAAATTTGCTTTGTCACCCTTGGGTGTCGACTAGCACGTGCTTTGACGCAGGAAAAGCCAATGGAGTCTCAGGGAGATTGTAAGATCCCACATCGCCCAAGGGAGTGGATATGTACATCCCATCTCTAGCTTCGGATTCCATCGGAATTTTGAAGTTAAGCGAGTTCGCGCGAGAGCAATCCTAGGATGGGTGACCCACTGAGAAGTTCTCGTGTGAGTTCCCAGAAACAAAACCATGAAGGCATGGTCGAGGCCTAAAATGGGCAATATCGTGCTACGGTGGAGTTAAGCCCGGGATGTGGTGGGGGCCCGGGTCGGGATGTGACAATTTGGTATCAGAGCCAATCCCTGGCCGGAATCGTGCCGATGAGGATGTCGGGCCCCTAAGGGGGGTGGATTGTAAGATACCACATCGCCCAGGTGAGTGGATCCTCTATGCCTTATATGTACATGCCAATCTCTACCTAGCATGAGGCCTTTTGGGAGCTCACTAGCTTCGGATTCCATCGGAACTCCGAAGTTAAGCGAGTTTGTGTGAGAGCAATCTCAGGATGGGTGACCTACTAGGAAGTTCTCGTAAGAAACAAAACTGTGAGGGCGTGGTCAAGGCCCAAAGCGGACAATATCGTGCTACGGTGGAGTCGAGCTCAGGATGTGGTAGGGGCCCAGGCCGGGATGTGACAGAGATGAGGGATGATAACCTCGAATTCGCTCAACCAGGGGCAATGGAGCTCGCTCACATCGTTAATCGTGGATTCTCTCATACGACCAAGCCAAACGCTTGATTTTAAAAGGAGAAATCACTCTCTTCAAATGCACAAGGCAAATACAATTTTAATTCATTCATGTATATCGTTCAAGGTTTTCTAATACAATATTTATAAGCGTTTACAAATTAATAGATTTTAAGTTTCTATGACACCCTTACATCTCCCAAAATAACTTAACAAATTCATAAGTAATTAAAATAAAAAAACTTTGTTATTCTAATGCATATTAATGGTTTCAAATTGTTTTCTCCAAGTCTAATTCTTGCATCATTCTCCTCTTCTCGAAAAAAAACTCGTCCTCGAGTTTCAATTGACTTCCTTTTTTTTTTTTTTTTTTTTTTTTGTCCTCAATCTTTCAGATGTTTCCTAAAAAGGATCATGAATACTACGGATATAAAGAGCTTTTACTTCATTATATAGTTGTCCATGGAACTCTTCAATCACATCTTCATCGCCTTCGTATTGATCATAAACCAGGGCAGAATCCCATTTGGCAAAGTCATCGATTACATCACTACTTTCTGTATGTTCCCCTTTCGCGCCAAACTCTATGTTAGAACGTTTTTCAACCTCATTACATGCACAACAAATCTCACATGAACAATCTAGACAACGATCAAAATTTAGAGGAAGATTGAGATCTAGAAAATCGTCACCTGAAAAATCAAAGACAAGCCGTTTCTAGAACCCATCTAACCTCATTTACTGGAGGCAGCAACATGCTTTAGTAAATTGAAGATATTGTTTTGTAGAAATAACGGATTGAGAATTGCTTGAGAATTTAGAAAATAGACAGTAAGGGCTTTCAATATGGTATGAAGGTCGAGAAATGCTTAACCAAATAAAAAATTGACTCGCAAGAGAACTGATTTTGTTTTCGTGACAGCACTGATGCTCTGTGGTGTTTTGCTGATATCTACACACACAAAATTCGGTTTGATGCACGGTTTGTTGCGTTGGAAACTAGACGTCCATAACTTTCCAGTGATGTATGACTCTCTAGATAAAAGTCATGGGAACTGAGTTGGTTTTGAGGACGAACATAGATGATGTGTGCAGTGCTACCACTAGGATTTCAGATAAAAATCTGAACACCCGCTCTGATACCACTTGATGCAGGAAAAGCCAAGGGAGTCTCAGAGAGACGAGGAATGATAACCTGAGATTTGTCAACCGGGGCAACAGAGCTCACTCACGTCGCTAATCGTGGATTCTCTCACACGACCAAACCAAATGCTTGATTTTAGAAGGAGAAATCACTCTCTTTAAATGCACAAGCCAAATACAATTTGAAGTCATTCAAGTCTGCCATTCAAGGCTTTCTAGTACAATATTTATAAGCGTTTACAAATTAATAGACTTTAAATTTCTACGACACCCTTACAACTCCCAAAATAACTTAACAAATTCCTAAGTAATTAAAATACATAACCTTTGTTATTCCAATGCATATTAATGGTTTCAAATTGTTTTCTCCAAGTCTACTTCTTGCATCATGCTTACCCTGATATTTAGGGATATCGGGTTGGAGCGTGTCAAAATATGTGATTGGAGACATGTTTTTGTAGTGTGAGATTAATGGTACTAGTCCAGCAATCACCATGAAGGTTTAGAAAATCCATTTCCTAATCATGCAAAGACATTTTCTTTCATTTCATCTTCAACTTTCTCAACCTAGGAATCCACCACGGAGGCAGATTCTCTGCCCTCCCACTTCCCGTGCCCTTCTGTTTTGTGTGGTCATAGTTAAGCCACATCAACATTTTATATTGTTTTTTTATAAAAATAATAAGATAAAAATGAATAGTAATATAAAATGTTGACGTGACTTAACCATAACCACACAAACAGAAAGGCAGAGGATCTGCCTCCATCCACCACAGATAGCTCTTTCAGCTTCGCTTTCGTTTCATCTTCAACTTTCTCAAGCTAGGAACCCACCACAGGTACCTCTTTCAGCTTCCAATGGCAGCTAGTTCTCATCCACTACTTGTATCAGATTCCAATCAATTTGAAACACGACAGGGTTGCTATCTATGACAAAAAGAAATCCCTCGACTCACCGGGTAAGACGTAAAATGCACATCCAGGACGTGTTGAACGTTTTCTATATAAACCAGTTATCATGCTTGCTTCTTCACATCCAGCTTGCCAATCACTACTTGAAGCAAAGCCATTGTCGACACAGAGCGGCCCTCTCATCACCGCAATGGCTTTTGAAAGAAACCTTTTGATTGTTACCATACTCATCACCTTGGGGACCTTGGCATCTGAAGCCACGTCTCGCACATTGTACCAAGCTTCCATTGCTACAAAACATGAGCAGTGGATGAAAAAGCATGGACGCGTTTACCAGGACAGCGCGGAGAAGGAAAGGCGTTTCCAGATATTCAAAAACAATGTGGAGTTTGTCGAGAAATTCAACAGTGAAGGGAACATGACTTACAGCCTATGCATCAACCGATTTTCGGATATGACCTATGATGAATTCCTCAGGCATTATACTGGATACAAGCAGCCCACTGAATCAACCTCATCCGCAGTTGCATCTTTTACATACGAAAACCTAAGCCCGGCTGATGTTCCCCAAAGCATTGACTGGAGGGAGAAGAGAGCAGTTACTCCAGTAAAATTTCAAGGGAGCTGTGGTAAGAGCACCAACCTCCATATTAACATAGGGCTAAGCTTCCTTGTACATATGTATGTATTGCATTAATTACTTTCTTCGTGCATTCATTCCTACGGAAATTAATTCATATCCGTTTGTTCGAATACATGCAGGTTGTTGCTGGGCATTTGCCGCAGTGGCAGCAGTCGAAGGGATTACCCAAATCAAAACTGGCAAATTGACCTCACTGTCTGAGCAACAACTTGTGAACTGTGATACAGATAACAATGGCTGCCAAGGTGGTCGGGCAGTTAATGCCCTTGCATACATTCAACGAAACGGAGGAATCACCGTTGAAGAAAATTACCCATACCAGAGTTTAGATGGCAGTGTCGGAACATGTGATATGAACAAGGAAAATGAGGCTGCTGCCCAGATCACTAGTTATGCAGAGGTACCTCCCAACAGTGAAACCGATCTACTCAAGACTGTGTCCATGCAACCAGTCTCCGTTTCCATCCATGCCTCACCAGCCTTTCAGCATTATTCAGGCGGGGTGTTCACCGGTGATGATTGTGGGAAAGAATTGAACCACGCTGTTACCATCATTGGGTATGGGACAACTGAAGATGGCACCCCCTATTGGTTAATCAAGAATTCATGGTCCGATAAGTGGGGTGAGAGTGGCTACATGAAGATTCTTAGAAACGCTGATGCCCCAGGTGGTGTCTGTGGCCTCGCTATAAGACCTTGCTATCCGACTATGTAATGTATTAATCAAAGGGTGGAGTGAGCTTCTCCACTTTGCCTATAGGTTATAAGTACTGCAGACAAAACCCATGGGCTGTGAAAATGCCTGTATTTTGTACTTGCAAAAAGTAGGTTCTATGAAATTACACTATTTTACCTTTATATTCATCAATGAATTTTCCTACCCTGCTTAGGCTAAATTAATAACCACAGCTGCAACGGCAGTTTGCTGGATTATGCCTTTGAATACATATAGCAAAACAGAGCATGCTTCCCAGATAATTTGTTATGGAACGTGCCTTCCACAGTGAAACCGACCTATTGAAGGCTGTGTCTTCGTGACGAGCCTTTCAGTTTCCTAAGGTGGGATTTTCTCCAGTGATCGTGGGACAGAACTGAACCACGCATCTGCAACCATCGCGTAAGGAGTGAATAAAGACGGCACCAACTAGTACTTCCCAATATCTTGCTGCAATTACGTTACTCATGTTAAAAATTTGACCTTGTTGATTTCAGGAATACTTTCCCGCTTACTCCGACTGTTAGGCGATCCTCGTTGCAAGGATATATCGCTGTAGTCTAATGAGAAATTAGTCATCTCGAATAGTGTAGGAGCGAATCATCTTTTATTATTTGTCTATTCCTACCTACAACCGGGGATATAGAGTTTCCGTTATATCCTAACCACATGAAGAGTGCTGTAGACTCATGAGGATATATCCCCATCGGGTTCGCCTGTGCCTTTGTATCAAAAGAAGCAAAAAGACAAGGCTTCCAAGCAAATACGAAATTTGAACCATACAACTCTTCCAACAAATAATGCACAATAACCTGTTTCTTTAGCTTTTTAATGGACACAATGTTTAATAAGCTTTCATTTTCATTTCCACGTAACGGCACAGTACGGAGGAGGGGCACTGAGTCGATCTACGAACATGGAGGATGACTAATTTCAGCAACCAAAACAAAACAGGCTTTTAAACATCATCCGTAACTTGGTTCGTACATCTTTTTACGCAGAGATTCATTTCTCAATTACAGAAAATTGGCGAGCTTCGATTCACATTTAACTCTGAATATGTCAATTTGTGGATGTCATGGCCTCGTCAAGATGGCTATAGATTCCCACTCCAGACTACATATAACATCCTGTGCAGCAAAATGTGGAACTGGTAAGCAACGTAACTTTTTACACTTCTTCGAGCACGTTTTCTTTTATTAACAGATTAAACATATTAAAAACGTCATAAAACCATCCAAATTTATGTATTCACAGAGAACAGAGAGAAATTGGTAAAATTCTACTTACAGAAGGATATTGCCGGTCTATGTCAAAGCTGTTGATTGCACAAGGTTCTGCCAGGAGCTCGATGGGTTCCTCACCTAAACAGATTCGGGCAATTTGAAACTATAAGTCCCATATCAAGTTTCAAGAATAGATTGTTTTACAAATGGTCAGTTCGTTCAAAAATAAAGAAGCTATCAGCCATGACAGGTTGCCATCCAACAATTTAGCACAAAGGACCATACCTTGTTCAACAACAGCAAGGATACCATCTTCTGAACATATCATAGTAGGTAAGATACGTGAAGAAACATTTCCCACATTCGAAGACTTTGCATAGTGGTCGTACTGAACCTCCCAAACCTCACTTTCACATGGTGAATGGGTTGCTTCACCTGCCCCAACCCCAGAAAGAAGGATTGGTTGCTGTGGCCACCTAAGATCCCACGCAAATACAGTCCCTAAAGAACCTCCAGCCTGTAAGTACGAGAAAATCGTAAAGACAACATGAGGTTATTCTTTTGAGTCTGTAACAACATAAGACTTAAGTAAAATAGAAGCCAGCAATGGATATATACACAGCACATCATTGTGTAAGCAACATTTAACACATTAGATGCATTCTCAATGCACGCAATATCCCTAACATTCGACAGGAGAAGGCATTATCGATTTCAAAAAGGCATCCAAGACAAAACAAATGGAAAATTACCAAACAAGTGTGCTTTCTTGAAGGATGGATATCAATTGAATGTACAATCCCTGGAGTTGACGGTTGAGACCTGCAACATTTCCAACAAGCAAAAGCTTAATCAACCTACATCCAGCACCAGAGAAGAACAAAACCGAATCTTTCTGAAGAATTCCTTACTTACTCAACTCAAAATATAACTACATTACGTTTAACAAAGGACTTACCGAGCTAATTGCAGATATCATTAAACATGAGTAAATTCTTAAAACAAGATAGATGTCAATATATTATAACTCAATGTCCACCATACAAATCCAATCTAGCATAATCAATAGAGCAAATGAGACAAAGATAAATGAAAGTTTAAGCCCAAAAATGCTCACCAGCCACCCTTAAATTGAGAAACCGCTCTGCCGCGCTTCCTCTGATCCCACCACTGGAGGCTAAACCCATATCCACCAGTAGCAAACTCACTCGGAGATGCCCATTTCGCCGCGGTAAACGAAACCAAGCCGCTGCTGTCGAAAACTCGCCGATAGCTCAACTCAGAGTCCCCTAAACTTACCAAATTGACCCTCCCATCTTCCCCAACACTCACACACTCCGACCCACCATCCATAACATCCACACAAGAAATGGGTCCCTCGTGTAACTCCTTTTCGGGCACCGAAAGCTCCGATTGGAGATACGCAGGGTCCATTGAATCGCCGTACAAGATGTGTAGGGAGCCGGAAAATGTCGCGGCAGCGACGAGAGGTTTGTGGTGGGATTGGGAGGTTTTGAGGGAGGAAATTCGGGAGGGCGAGACCCATTGAGATTGCGGGGTTAGCGTTGCTGGGTTCGGAGTGAAAGAGTGGGTCTCTACGGAGGAAGAGTCGGAATCGGAGTCGAAAACTGCAATAACGGCGAGGCGGTCCAAGGCGGAGAGAGGCGGGAGCCACCGGACTGAGTCTAAGTACTTGGATTGTGGGAGTCGGTGGATCTGCGGAGGCTCTGCGATCGGCATTGTTTAATGTTTAGGGTTAGGCCCTTTAGGGTTTAGGGAAAGGAATTTCAGATAGGATGAGAGATTTGGGAAAATCAGGTACGACAGATTTAGAAGTGAACGTTTTTTATTTATTTATTTATTTTTTTTGTCAAGTAGAAGTGAACGTTTAAGGAGTTGCAGCAGCCACCCCAAGTGGGTGTACAATAATAATTTGATATTATGATGGTGTATTCAATCAGAAATTTGAGAGAGTTTAATGTAATTATTACCTCCTATGAGTTTCTTGGATTTCGATTGGTTCACATATAATCCAATGAATTGTACCCCGCGTAAAAAGATTTAATATAAATTTTATTATAAAGTTTAATGAATTTTTATCGAGTCTAATGGATTCATTGGACAATAATTGTTTTTCGGCTAAACTTTTGCCTCTCAAATTATTCACTTTTTTTTTCTTTTTCTTTTGAGCTCTATCCATCCGAACCAAGCAAAAAATCATCTGGGTTTGCCAAAATCAATTACCATAAGCAATACTCAAGAAGTCTAGATTCGCCAACAACCAAAGACTATAAACTTTATAGGAAAAGAACTGATGAAGAAAATATAGTTTCCAATATATCAAAGTAGATAAATCATCGTCATTTCTCATCTCTGACTTCCGTTGTTCATAGCATCTGTCCACATATTTGAAGCTATATCAAGTCTCCATGCATTAGCATTTTCTCGTGCCTGCTCTTGGGTTTCATAAAGTTCTTCATCTTCTGCCAGCAATGACGGGGATGAAGGTTCTTTATCTTCAACAGGAAATTCATCGGAACGACACTCCTTACGAAGAAAGTTGTGTAATCCTGCACAAGCTAACACTACTTTTGCTTGTGTCTTGTATGGAAATGGAGGTGCAGACTTAAAAATTGTGAATCGTGATTTGAATATACCAAATATTCTCTTGACCACATTTCTCAAGGAAGCATGGTGAAGATTAAACAACTCAAGTGAATTTTCGGGGTCACAACCTTGACCAGCAAAATCTTGAAGGTGAAAGCGAACACCTCGAAATGGAGCTAAAAACTGACGACGACTTGCAAATCCACAATCGACCAAGAAAAACTTACCTGGATGAACACGTAACATATCAATAAAATCTAGGGAGTTTTAATGAAAAGGGCTTAGACCAAGATTATTTTAATAAAAAACCACCTATAGTTTTCTTTAACCAAAAAAAACCTCAAAATTAACCATAAAGACAAAGGTCTCCAATTCTACATGGGCTGAATTACAGAGCCCAACAGAAACAAAAATAAGTTTCCAAAATTACCCCAACAAGGAGGCGCAGGTCTGAAACTTGTTTGTTCTCATGAAGGAGAAAGCTCACGTCAACTCCAAGCAGAGCGACAATCAGCGTTTCGTTTTCTGGGTTTTTCTTCCTTCATTCTTGGTGCATATATCAATTTTTGAATTTCCTTGTCCAAATTAGATTCAGATTTGGAAAATAACCAGACTTTGAGAAAAAAAAAATCCCAAATTATTGAATCCAATCTCCAAAAGTACAATTAAAAAGAAACGAATAGGAAAAGAGCTGTGCAATTGAATCAAGGAGGAGGACACTCAAACTGAATCCATTTTCCATGGACCAGGAAAAAACCAAAAACTCCAATTCCTTGCACCCATTTCTCCATAAAACTAGAAACAAAAATATATCTCTACCTGTGATAGAACCACCTTCCCCAATTACAAAATCTGGAAAAGAAAAAGAAAATAGAAAAGGTAGATGAGAAAGAGAGAGAAAAGTGACTTCAACCATGGCGTTCAACTTTCATAACACTGTTAATGTTAAACATTTCTAGGAAATAGTATGATTTTTTTGCCACTTTTTTAGAAAACAATGCGACCCGTTATATTTTGAATTCGTAACTGTTTCTGGAAAAACTAACATTGTCTTTGGAAAAATTAACAGTGTCCCTGGAAAAACCTAACATTGTCTCTGGAAAACTAACACTGTCTCTGAAAAAACTAACATTGTCTCTGGAAAAACACTGTCTTTGGAAACAGTGACTTAGATTCTAGAAACAATGTTACTTAAAATTCAGAAACAGTTTATTTTTACAGTCCAGAAACAGTGACCTGTCGTTGTTATTGAATAGCATGCAGATCTCAAATTTATTTTCTGGAGAAATAAACGATGAACTCCACTGACGAAGAAAAATTGAAAAATATTACCTCAAATCCATTATGAATAATAACGACGATCACATTTCAACGAAATAATACAAAATATAAATTAAATAGCATGAATATCTATATTTTTGTTTCAAAGAAAAAGAAGGTCTGCAAAACAATAATGAACTCCATTAACAATGAAAATCTGGAACTCAACCTAAACAAGCTAGGGGTAAAATCGACAAATCATAATTTATTATAGTTGGGTTATTTTTAGTTGTACTGCTTTAATACAGGCCTTGTACTAATCATTAAACAAAACTTATAACATAATTTTTTATTAAAACTAAAACTTTTCGAACTTTTTTTATTAGTTTTCCTTAAAATCTAATAGTATAACAAATAGAGGCTTAAGAAATGAAAATATGTACTGTGCGACACTAGTCCATTCCTCCTTGATAAAGCATCAGACAACACTTTGGAATCATGGGCTGAACCTTCCCATCCACTAAGAATGTATATGAATTCCAAATCAAAGTTACAAGAAGCCAACACATTTTGTGATATTTTCCCATGACGATCACGATAACTGCTGACTTCACGTCCTTTTACCATTGCTGGTATATGTATGCCATCAATTGCTCCAACACAATCCTACAATAAATATAAGATCATTTATATAGTGTATATTTTTACAATGACAACAATAAAATGAACAAGAACAATATAACATATATATCATTCACCTTAAAGTAAGGGTAAAACCTTGTGCTTTCTCTTATTTTAGTTGGGACTGTGGGTGCTGGTTTGACCATCAGATCAGGAGCTATTGTGTTCAAGGCCTTCAGCACTCCAATAAAATTTTTGCTTGTTGCAAAATGTGATCTTTCAAATGTCTCGCGAGTTAAACGATATTGAGCATTTTGACCGACAATGATTAAAAATGTTGCAAGCATTTCTTCAACACAGATGAATCTGGTATCTTGCAATTGCGTCTTCTCTCTTATAATACTGCATAGCTTTAGAAACACATATGGATACATTCTATATAACTTTCGAAATTAACTGCTTAATCTCCTTCCGTTTGCTTAGTTATCGTCCACAACTTACATCACTTTAAAGAATAAACACATGGTAGATGGCGCTTTATTGCAATGGCAAAAAAAAAAAAAATCATGTTTATGCACTCTAGTGCAATTTCAACCCCCCACCAATCTCCCTCCCTCTAAATACTAACAATTTAATCAACTAACGCTATCATTTGTTAAAAAAGCCGAATATGTGCATTGCAAAAAAGTGAAGAAAAAAAATGATATCCCTTTTAGATGGTAAGTACAAAAACGAGGTAAGTACTGCAGTGGGAGATGTGGAAGGGATTACACAAATCAAAACTGGTAAATGTAAGCCATTCCAGAAATCGAATCAACCAAATCCTAGATTACGTTTATCATTAATGACAGTGCAAAAAGAACATGAACCCTAATACCGTTTATACAGAGCCTTGATCTAATCGACACTTGAAGACCTGGTGCTATGATAGGAAATTAGCCTTCTCTTCTCTTGTACACACATAACAGTTCTCAAGCTTTCAATGGGGCAAGCATGCAAACTGAACCACCAACATACCGAGAACACTACTAGAAAATGTGCTATAGGGCACCGTTTTGAGGACACCCTTCTTCATCAGTGGCTTTGTAAATTGGACTATCACCATGGTCAAAATTTGGTGTCTTAAACTTTTGTAACACCAATCATTGGTAGCTTTAACCTTTATAACACCATTCATTGGTGTCAAACTATAAAAATTTTGACACCAAAGACTTGTTATATGTTTTTCAACTTTGGGAGCTGATTTTATTTTATTTTTCAGTTTTCTTCTCCTTTTGCTGTCAAAATATTTTTATTTTCATTTAATAATGCTATTCTACAGTACTTCACCCCTCATATAAATACAAAGTTTACCCAACCTTAATTGTCAACCAGCCTTTCTCTCTCTTTTCTGCGCTGAAACTCTCTCAGAGTAGCTCCAGTGAAAGCTGCAGCCTGATGGATCGGCGACTTTGATGACCCAATAGCCCCAGTTCCTTGCTCTAGCCCATGCGGGCGATTGGGCAGGGGGCCCGAGTGAAAGGCCCCGCTCAAATTAGTGGCCCGACAGCCCAAGGGCCAGGTGATGCCATGCTAACTTCAGGATGATGTCAGCCACGATTTAATTAATTTTGCGTCAGGCGCATGCATAACACGCGCACGTGAAGGCACTCCCCGACAACTTTTAAGGTGCTGGGGCCCGCGGTGCAGAGGGCAAAAAAGTTATCGTTGGTGGCCACGTGGCACGTTTCATCCATTGGATTTTAACGATTACTTTTTCTGGACTGCTGGATTTCCAACAGTAAAAAAAAAATTGAAACCTTCCGCAATATCAACTGTTGGATTTGAGATTAACGGTCCACGTTATTCGCCTTTAAAAATTACAAAAAAAAAAAGAATTCACATTTAAAAATTATGAACTGTTACCGTTGTGCCACATGGCACAATCTAAAGGGTTGTATTTCAATTTTTTTTTAATCCAACGGCAGAAATTAATTAAGTTAATAAAAAAAATGTTAAAAATTAATTAAAAAAATGATTTTACTTTTCTGTAAGTACCTTCTCATTAACTTCTACCTTGCACCGCATTTTCATATTTTCTCAAATACTTTCAACCGCATTCCAATCTTTCTTTCAAAGTTTCAATCCAATTGGTTTCCAACAAAATGACTAATGATGCAGGTATGAATTGGAAAATTATTGAAGATGTTACGTTGTGTTCGTTGACTAGGTAGTATGGCCCGTGGTACTTATGTCTATTTAGGGGTGGGTTCGGTTCGGTTCGGTTTGGTTTTTTGCGAAAACCGGAAACCGAACCGAAATTACTGTTCGGTTCGGTTCGGTTCGGTTTTCTATCGGTTTGTGTTCGGTTCGGTTTGTATTCGGTTCGGTTTTCTCGGTTCGGTTTCGGCCCGGTTCGGTTTTTTTTTTTTTTTTTTTTTTCAATCACGATTCACGATTTTATTTATTTGCCGATTTTATTGAAACCCCACTTGCACATTGTAAATTGGAACAACCCCATGTCAGAAATTGGGTCTGAAATCAAAAGGGTTGCTCCAAAACATTCAATTATTGGTGTTTTTTCAGTGTGGCATTTTATCCAACACATTGAGATCTTTGGAGCTCTAAGCCTCTAACTAATGGACTAAAAGGAAGAGGACCCATTGAAAGGATGGTTTTTTTAATTGGAGATTTGGGAGGATTGTTTTTTACCTTGATTGTAGGGTCGGTTGAATCATCAAGGACTTGGATCACGAGATGATCCGACGGCCATGAAAGTCCACATGCAGCTCCAATGGAGACCTTGTAGACCTGCCCAAAAAGCACCACACTTTAAGGCTTTTCATTTGGTTTTTTTACAAACCCAGAAAATAAAAATGGCAAAAAACAAAGAGAATTTGAGGGAGGCATGAGGGTTCGAACCCATGCCTCCATGGCTTGTAAAGTTTCATTGAAACCAACTTGGCAACAGGTTCTGTTTTGTTATGATTGTATGACTAAAATATTTATAAATATTCAAAAAAATTATATATATATATATCGGTTCGGTTCGGTTCGGTTCGGTTTCCGAGCCTAAAAAATCGAAACCGAACTGGTCAGATTCGGTTCGGTTCGGTTTTTTTGCTGTTCGGTTTTTTTCGGCCTCGGTCCGGTTCGGTTGTCGGTTTTTTTCGATTTTCGGTTTTTTGAACCCACCCCTATGTCTATTGACCCAATACATGACTCTTGATGCTTTTCCTTGCAGGACATCTTTGAACATTGGGGATTGGGTAAGGACATTGAGGTCATTTTGAGCTCTCAAAACACCAAAAAAAGCGTGTCAAATCCATGTATCAAATGATGCCACCGCCTCCAAAATGATATTTTTTGCTTATTTTATGTTCCCATAAGCTCCTTGCCATGCACTTGGATAGTTTTTTCAGGTTCAGTGCATACAGTCGATGCTTCCAATCATCCCAAAAAAACCTCGCATCTCGCCCTTCTTCAGAAGCCTTTGCAAGTCCATCTCAGTTGGTTTCCATAGGTACTCTATGGTGTAGAGAGATTCGATTGCAGAACAAAACCTCATCAGGGACTCGAGAATGGTTGATTTCTCCATCCTCGCTATCTCATCCACTTGGTCTACAGATGTTCCATATGCAAGCATCCGCAAAGTAGCAGTAATTTTTTGCTCAGGAAGGAGACCCATAATACCAAAAACATCATTCTTTTGCACAAAGTAAGAATCATGGTCGGAAACAACAATCATGATTTTGTTGAACAAATGTCATTCCATTTTAAAATGACGTCTAAAGTACGTATCAAGAAATGCACTCTTATGAACAAAATAATCGTCCAAGAAATCCGTACCTCGTCCATCTCATTTTCGTCCACCTGGAGATTGAACATTTCTTCCTCTTGCTGAAACAATTCTTTCTCTTGCTCATCAATTTCCCACAACATTCTTGAAGAAAACATTGTAAGAAGGAATCAGAAACTATAAATAATGATAGAGATTTTAATTTTAATGTGTGATTTCTTACGATAGATGGTGGATTATATGGAGTTCACTAATGCAAAATAGTAAATTTGTAGTCATCAGCACCATTAATTGCAACTAAATGCCAAGGGGCAAAGACTCGAGCAAACACACCATTGACTTGTAGTCATCAGCACCATTAATGGCAACTAAAGACCAAAGGGCAAAGACTCGAGCAAACACACCATTGACTTGTAGTCATCAGACTCTTGATTCATTCATGGAAATTGGTTTCCATCGTAAAATCAATTGATAATATAAGGAGTAGTCCAACTTCTTATAAGGTCATGCAAGGTTCCTCCTCCCATCAATGTATGACTCATTCTTAACACGCTCCTTCATGTGTGGTGAATTTACAAGCCTAACACAACGAGATGATGTGGAGCACGTGTGGCTGTTTGACTTCACACATGAGACAACCTATTCTGATACCATAAAGAAAGTTGGGTACCATCCTAAGTCGTTCGAACTGCTTTGTGCACAAACTCCTCGGCAAAAACAAAACAAGTGTAGCATTCGGGCTAGACTGATTGATGAAGATTACTGAGTGATCAACTTGTGGAATGTGCCTGGAAATTTGGCTCCCTTCCAAATTCCCATCCTAACGATTTCAACAAAGTGCACATCCAGGACATCCTGAACGTCTTCTATTTAAACCGGTAATATCATGCTTGCTTCTTCACATCCAGCTTGCCAATCACTACTCGAAGCAAGGCCATTGTCGACACAGAGCGCCCTCTTATCACCGGTGGTTCTTTGCGAGCAATGGTTTTCGAAAGAAACCTTTTGATTGTTACCATACTGATCACCTTGGGGACATTGGCATCTGAAGCCACGTCCAGCACATTGAACCAAGCTTCCATTGCTGCAAAACATGAGAGGTGGATGAAAAAGCATGGACGCGTTTACCAGGACAGCGCGGAGAAGGAACGGCGTTTCCACATATTCAAAAACAATGTGGAGTTTGTCGAGAAATTCAACAGTGAAGGGAACAAGACTTACAGCCTATGCATCAACCGATTTTCGGATATGACCAATGACGAATTCCTCATGTATTATACTGGATACAAGCAGCCCACTGAATCAACCTCATCTGCAGATGCATCATTTACATACGAAAACCTAAGCCTAACGGATGTTCCCCCAAGCATTGACTGGAGGGAGAATGGAGCTGTTACTCCAGTAAAAGATCATGGGCAATGTGGTAAGAGCACCAACCACCATATTAACATAGGGCTAAGCTTCCTTGTACATATGTATGTATTACATTAATTACTTTCTTCGTGCATTCATTCCTACGGAAATTACTTCATATCCGTTCGTTCGAATACATGCAGTTTGTTCCTGGGCATTTTCCGCAGTGGCAGCAGTCGAAGGGATTACCCAAATCAAAACTGGCAAATTGATCTCACTGTCTGAGCAACAACTTGCTGTGATACAGATAACAATGGCTGCCAAGGTGGTCGGGCAGTTAATGCCTTTGCATACATTCAACAAAACGGAGGAATCACCAGTGAAGAAAATTACCCATACCAGAGTTTAGATGGAAGTGCCGGTACATGTGATATGACAAAGGCAAAAGAGGCTGCTGCCTGGATAACTAGTTATGCAGAGGTACCTCCCAACAGTGAAACCGATCTACTCAAGGCTGTGTCCAAGCAACCAGTCTCCGTTTCCATCAATATATCAGAAGAATTTCAGCATTATTCAAGCGGGGTGTTCACCGGTGATGATTGTGGGACAGAAATGAGCCTCGCTGTTACCATCATTGGGTATGGGACAACTGAAGATGGCATCCCCTATTGGTTAATCAAGAATTCATGGTCCGATATGTGGGGTGAGATTGGCTACATGAAGATTCTTAGAAACGTTGATGTCCCAGGTGGTGTTTGTGGCCTTGCTACGAAAGCTTCCTATCCGATTATAAGTACTACAGACAAACCCATAGGCTGTGAAAATGCCTGTATTTTGTACTTAAAGTATGATCTATGAAATTACATTATTTTACCTTTATATTCAACAATGAATTTTCCTACCCTGCTTAGGCTAAATTAATAACCACAGCTGCAACGGCAGTTTGCTGGATTATGCCTCTGAATACATATAGCAAAACAGCGCATGTGACAAAACGAGCATGCTTCCCAGATAACTGGTTATGGAACGTGCCTTCCACAGTGAAAACGACCTATTGAAGGCTGTGTCTCCATGACGAGCCTTTCAGTTTCCTAAGGTGGGATTTTCTCCAATGATCGTGGGACGGAACTGAACCACACATTTGCAACCATCGGGTAAGAAGTGAACAAAGATGGCACCAACTATTGGTTGCTCAAGATGGGATGGGAGGTGGGGTGAAGTGAGAATGGCTATATGAAAATTTGCAGAAACATGCCATTGTATCTTTGTCAGCGGGCTATGGATTCTTCTTATCAAACTATCTAAACTATGGATATAATCAAGGGGTTAAGAGATCATCTCGACTTCACCTAACAAGACAAAACTACCAGGCTTCGCCTATAGCCAAGAAAATTCCTTGTAGTAGCTAATCCATACCATTCAATAAACTTTCGGGATCTTATAAAACATTATTGAAAACAGGATAATCTATACATTTCATTTGGTATTGATAAATTTAGTGATATGGATAGCCGAAAATGAGTTCTTACAACAAAGCTAACAGAACAAAATGGATATGCAAAATGGGTTCTGATTCAAACAAAAAAAAAAAAATTGGCCTTTCCAAATGAAACAATACAAAAGGTATCATGATAAGTAAGTTTGAAATTCTGCCTTTGTTCACAAGAATAAGCTATTGGACATCATTACCTTACATGCCATTGCACTTACCTAATAAACTGAATATGAAAAGACACAATCAGGCACGTTTTCCACTACTGGGATTGCTCTTCGTGCAGAGGACCTTCCGCCCCTTAGCACGTCGGCGCTTCATCATTGCTCTCCCACCAGTGGTTCTCATGCGTCTCCGGAAGCCATGAGTTCGAGCCAAGGATTTCCTGGACCTACTTCTCTTGGTTAGACACAGGGCAGCCTTCCCGGCCCTTACCACCAAGCCAGAGCCTCTTCTTCTTCCAACCCCAACAGTAGAGCTCAAATCCAACCCCAAAGATAAACCTTCAAATTAAAAATCAAGTTCTCATCAATTCAAGGCCTGAAGAAATATCCTTTGGCAAGCTCTTCAGCAGAAACCAAATAAAGGCGCCAACTTGCTTCATTTTTGCGGAAGTATTAGCATCGGGTGACCAACGAAGAACTCACACATTCATCTAAACAGCACCTACCAAGTCTCTAACCACTTCTACATCTAATATACTATGCTGTAAGGCATCTTTTGATTAGCAATCGAAGTACTTAATTTGCTAAAACTAATCAAATTGTAACCAAGAAAGTTACTTTTCATGAAGCTAGAGTACCTAAGCAAACTAAAAAATGAACAGAATTCAAGCAAGCAATGGAATGTGAATATACAACCGATCAGCTTATGAAATTCAACAACAACAAAAAACCCCCATCTGAACTTAGATTCAAATTTGAACAAGAATGCAGTACTTCACAATCTTCAGCAAAAAGGAGCAGACGCCCATTTTCCAAATCACCCAGAAAACAAAAACAACAATTCAAGCTTCAAGTTTTCTCAGAGAATCCCAGAGTAACGGTAATAAAAGAAGAAAACTTACCCGAGAACGCGGAAGCGGAAGCGATGGAGGAGGAAGAGATGAAGGAGCAGTGAAGCAACGGGGAACGCGGGGCAGCGCCACCGCTGAGAGACACGGAGCTCTTCCTTGCAGTTGAGCCGGTGAGGAACGTGAGAGAAGCACAGGGTGTGGAGGCTCGACTGGAAAGGCAGGGCGACCATGCCATTGCTGAAATTGAAGCCATTCTTCCTTTTGCCTTCGTCTTCTTTCGTCTTCAGGTGTTGTTGCTCTGCTTTCTTCTTTCTTTCTGCGTTTTGTTGTCGCTAAAGAGGAGGAAGAAGATGAGGTTTTTGTGCCTTCGCCTTATCCAATCCAGTGTCTGTGGAATTGGTTTGGACCCTTTCGAGTCCGACCGGATTATCCATACTTCAAACGCACTGGGCTGGACCGGCCCATTACCCTTGCGTACATAGCCTGCCGAATGTAGTACGTTATTATAGAATTATTTCGGCACAATAATCAATTGGGGATGTAGCTCAAATGGTAGAGCGCCCGCTTTGCATGCGGGAGGTACAGGGTTCGATACCCTGCATCTCCATCTTGCATTTTCTTTTTAAATTTTTTTCTGTCATGTTGAAACGGGTGGTAGATGATTGTGAATTTATTTTTTATTTTTATTTTTATATACAACAATATTTACGTGAAAAGAAAAATTAGTATCCAACTCGTTATTTATGAGTTTCAAACATAAAAGCTTACTTGTAACTAAATCACATAATGATGGCCATAGAAAAACTAAAATATCTCTGTAAGTCTTTCCGACCTTAAAAAATAGATTGTCGTGATGAAATCAGCTGATCTTCTTTTTGAAGAAGAAAAAATGTTCTATTATATTTGAATCCCAAAATCTCCAAAAAAGAATTGGATGTGACAACATAATCAGTAGGTAATAACTACTAAATTGACAAATGTGGATAAGGCTTAAAGAAAGGAGACCTTTCTTGCTCAAGGGAAAACTTAGATGAGCTGTATATATTTGACAATTACGAGATTAGGGTTTCATAAGCATGTGATATTTGGCACTCAATTATTTGCTTTAGTTTAAGACACTCAGAGAGAGGTCAGTCAACATTAAGATTCCATTTTTTTATACAAAAAAATGGTAGGTGTGGTTTCCAAATGCAGGCTCCAAATTCCACATTGGAATGGGCAAAACCAACTTGTTGCCAACCCAAAAACCACCTTCTATGTTGGGCACAGTTTAATCCTTTCTGTATTAGTTCTCACCCACTATTTACTACATTAGCACATAAGTCCAATCAATGATATCATCGTCATTTTCGGGCCACAAAAATAAATGCGAGTCTATTACATTGTCACACGATGTTTTATCTAATCACTCATATTATAATACAATGTATATCTTGTAGTCTAAAAATTAATTGGTTTTATGTACGTATCTTCATATATCTTTGAATAATGAAACCATTCAAGAATCAAAATAACAAGGAGGATCTTGGATCCACTTGTCTAATTAATGATCACAATTAATAAACGAAAGAATGTGTTAAATTGTTAATCATGTAGTTGGCAGATTTGCAAGCAACACCTTAGTCATGAAAGACTGCTACTGGTAGGGGTCCCCTAATACAAGTTGTGCAAGCCAACTATGAATCCACTCTCTCTCTCTCTCTCTCTCTCTCTCTCTCTCTCTCTCTCTCTCTAGCAAAATGTTACGTGAGATTTGCTGACATTTGTAACGTTCCTTCTTTATTGTGTTAAATGAGCTCAAGCGGTAACATAAATTTTAAGGTAATGATTCTCACACTTTCAATTTGTCTTTATGCATTTCTCTCATTATTTGTGTCTCTTCGTTTCTCCTTAATTCATTCAATTTTACAGTTAAAAACAATAAAGACTGCAACATAAAAAAAAAGGAATGCAAAGATCACTCTCCGAATTTTCAAGTGAAAAAATCATGTGTCAGCAACTCTTCGAGCTTTCTTAATTATAAGAGAGTATGGATAACAATCCTCCTTCCAAGTGGCATGCGATCATGTAAAGGTTGCTACTTGCCAAGGTGTTTGAGGGGTTCACCATTTTTAGATGAGAACTTCTTCGTTAAGAGCCTTAAGACACCGACAAATCAAAGGTGAGACTGAGAGACACAAAGGCCCCACCATACATTAAATATGTGATTGGAGACCTGTTTTTGTAGAGTGAGATTGAAGGTACTAGGCCAGCACTGACCATGGAGGTTTAGAAAATCCATTTCCTAATCATATCAAGACTTTCTTTTCATTTCAACTTCAACTTTCTCAATAAAGAAGTACCACCACAGAGAGCTCTTTCAGCTTCCCATGGCAACCAATTCTGATCCACTACTCGTATGAGAGTGCCATTTCTTTTCTCCTAACACTTATTCAGCATAATGTTAACGATTGTTGAAGGGACCAAGACATCACCAAGACCAAGTCTATCATACTCGCATTATTTAAAAATGAAGATTCCAATCAACTTGAAACACGACAGGGTTGTCATTTAAGACAAAAATAAATCCCTCGAGTCATAGAATAGGACGCAAAAATAATGTACAATCGGAGAAAACGAAACAGATAGACCCGAAGAAATTTCTCTGGATGAAGAATTAGAGGTGGTTTATTTGAGTGATGAGATTCCATGGATGAAGAATTTAGCTTTTGAAGCACTCTTTTTAGGAGTAGGATTCTCTCCCCTCCTATTCTCATTCCCTTCCCTTCCTTCCTCTCACATATTGTTTTTTGTCTTATTGTCTCTATAAAAAAAATCAATATAAGATGTTGACGTGGCTAAACTGTAACCGTTCAAATAGAAGGGGATGGAAGTTGAGATAATCCTCCTCCCTCTTTTTAATGGAGGGTTTTGGAGAGAGCTTTTGCAAGCACCTTCTGAAACAGAATCCACAATAGACTATCTACCTACTATATGTCATGGCATGAGAATTTAAGAACTCATTTTGGAAGTGTTTTTGAAATGATTCAAAGCGCTTTAGCAAACATTTTTTTGGGGTTTAAAAACACTTAAAGTGTTTTTCCATGATTCACTTGCATTTTTACTAAAAATTGATTCCAAAACCATTTATTTTTAATCAAAAGCACATTCAACCAGTTTAAAAACATTTATAAACGAACTCTGAATTGGAGATCATGGGACCAACCTAAGTGTAGTGGTGGGCTTGAATACCAAGAGCTACCTGATATATTTTATTTTTTAACTGTTTTCTATATGTGGGGCTTGAGGACAAAGTTTTATGAGAGGCTTTTTAGCCAAAATAGTCCTTGAGATTTGCATAACTCATCACTTTGGTCCTTGAGATTTCAAATCAATAGAAGTGGTTACTGAGATTGTCCACCATCCATCATTTTGGTCATTCCCTTAAAAACTCCGTTAAGTGTCGGAAGTTTGGGCAATTTTCAAAACTTCGTAACTCAATCATTTCTGAACCAAATTCGACCCATAATACATCAAAATGAAGATAGGAAAGTGTAGAATAAGATTATACCTATTTGGAAGCCCAATAGTTGCCGGAGATGGTTGGAAAATAGCCTCAAAGTTGACTGGTCCGAGGGAAAACTGGACAACTCGCCGGAAACTAGGCAAACTTTAAACGTTCATAACTTCTTCAATACTCAACGTAATCAAGTGATTCAAAACCAAAAATCATACTTCTCAACGAGACGAAGAGAATGGTATCTTTTTCAGCAGCTAAATCTCCTTGGTTTGGCCGGAAAACGGCTCAAAAGTGGCTGTCTTAGCTTGAGTTAGCCACTTTCGAGCCATTTTCCGACCAAACCACGGTGAGTTAGCCGCTAGAAAACTACCATTCTCTTTGTCTCGTCAAGAATTATGATTTTCTTTTTTGAATGACTTAATTTCGTTGAGTATTGAAGAAGTTACGAACGTTTAAAGTTTGCCCAGTTTTCAGCGAGTTTTCCAGTTTTCCCTTGGACCAGTCAATTTTGAGGCTATTTTTCGACCATCTCAGGCAACCATTGGGCTTTCAAATAGGTATAATCTTATTCTACACTTTCCTATCTTCATTTGATATATTATGGGTCGAATTTGATTAAAAAATGATTGAGTTACGAAGCTTTGAAAATTGCCTAAACTTCCGGCCAAGAGCTTCAGGACACTCAACAGAATTTTTAACGGAATGACCAAAATGATGGATGGTGGACAATCTCAGGGATATTGATTTGAAATCTCAAGGACCAAAGTGAGGAGTTATGCAAATTTCAGGACCATTTTAGCTAAAAAGCCTTTATGAAAAGTCCAAAACAGATAAATCAATCTACTGGAGTGATATGGCTTACCTAATGCTAAGGGCAAGGACTTGACAGCCTGTGGAACCCACCCTTTTGTTTCCCTCCCTTTGGGTGTTTCAATTTTGAATATTCCTCTTATGCTCATGAAATTCATCCAATTATTTTAAGCCATCTCTAGCCAGGAGTTGTAAACTACGTTCAATCTGAATTTATGCAAAATTCGTCTCCAAGAACCAAAAAAATATATATGTTAAAAAGGAGTCAGGTCAAAATTTAGCCAAAGCATTGGTACATATAACAAGTCTTCAACTCTTTCGACAGTCGCCAACTTGTGCATCCCAAGCCAAATGTAAAATTTAAACTTGGCTGGAGATGTAAAAAATTAACAATCTTTGAATCATGCTCTTAGTTGTATTTGATGGAAAGAAAATAAATTAGTATCATAAAATTTTCCACATTTCTCTCCCCACGCTCTTTTCCTTGCCCACAGAATTACTTTAGTTTCTCACATAAATGATTATATGATAAAAAGAAACTTAGTTGCACATGGTGCGTGAGCCGATTGATAATAATTATTAACATGTTATTTGTTAAGTATGCTCATCATGCCTTTACAATTGCATGGTTAAATTTTGTATTTAAAAAAACAAAAAAAAAAGGGATCAGCTGATGTTGGGAAGGCTGTAGAGGCATTTGAGCTTCTTTCTGCCCATTATCGTGTGATTCACAAACGCTAACAATCGAATTTAGGACGTGTGTATAGAATACCGGTCTAAAATTTGTTGCCAACCACTAAACCACCCGTAATAATTTATTGCAAGATTAATTTGATTAATCCCTTCATTTCCTCCTCTAATTTTATCATTTGATTTTGCCCTGATAAATAAACACAGTAATATTACTTCCAATCAATTCCACGTTCTAAAATTTACTTTTTGATCAAATTTTATCACCT